GTAGGCTGTAGGTACATCGACGGGGGGTGTCATTCACTTGGTTGCGTTTCGACTGTGAGTGTATGTGTTCACATCGTATTTCCGGTTTGTGTGGAGCAAATGTGAGGGCAACTGTCGGTAGCTGAGGCAGATTTTAACAGGGGGTTCGGTGGGAGAAGTACTCTCCTTCGCGTACCTCACCCTACGGGTCTGAGTCGTGTTGTGGCCTTAACGTACTCGACAAGTTGGAGGTACGGACACATGACGGTGATCCTAATACATTGACTGACAGTATTGCCGCCGACAGACCTACCGTCGAATTGAGACGAGCATCGATCCGCAACGGAGTCTGGGGCTGTACGGGAAGTGGTCGAGGCCGCCACTTACCGGACTACAACCCGACCGTCGAGACCGAGTCCACTTTCGGTACCGGTACGGTGCGACGCGGGGAAGTCACGTCTTGACTGGTCAGATTGAAGAGTCACCGCTACTAGAGACGGTCTACCTCAACATACAAGGAGGTAACGACAACCATCTCAACTCTGTTGCCGACCTGATGAAAACTTCACGGTCCGAAGGAGGTGACCGTGAGTTTAAGACACCTCGACTAGACGGTGTACCGTTATAAAACGGTTACGACCGTCGCACCGACGTAAACATGTAGGAGGCACGTGTTGTGTCTGTTCGCGAGACGTAGCGCGGTTAGGAGAGGTACATCTTAGACATTTTATTTCAATTCATGGTACAAACATGTATCGATTATTATCTAACTTCTCGTTATGTTCCTACTCAGGTCTAGACCCCCACCCTCCAAAAAAAAGGTATCAAACAGGAGAACGACACATACAACCTAAAGACTTATAAAAACATTTAAACACCAACATAACCAACACTAAATGTAACATAAAAAAAAAAATTACATAATGTAAAAAACTTTAAATAGTTGTTTTCTAAACCAGTCCTTAGATCTGAGTACACATCAAATACTTATTAGTTACGAGAGATTGTAATCCTTTTGGTATGTCACATGGTCTCCCTCAGTTGTGTCGCACGATCTTTGGTTGTTTAACTGTTCTATTGGTTTTTAGAATTAGTGTGTGTCGTTTATTTGAGTTACTGTGTTGGCTCTTACATTTTCCTAGTGTTATATCAGGCATTATTTTGACCGTCGAAGTTAGACTCCTCGTGATTTTGTTTTGTGCCCTCACATGGACAAGAACCTGTGATTACAATGGTTCATGTGTGGGCATATGTCATGTGGGCAAGACCCAGATCTCACCGAGAGATCCAATCGAAGATCGAAGACTGACCACAGGTTCCAACAGTTGTGTCGGCACCTAAGTATAATACGTATCAGCTGCAGCATTGTAGCGATTTGATAAAAAAGACTGCCAAAGGGTCAGTTGATTACGATTATACTATTGTCATTGTATTTAATGTTCGGGCGTGTGACGTCAGTAATATACGGCCCAGACCAGTGTAATGAAAAGAAGAGGAGGAATTAACTGACTGTAATTGGACAATTGTAACGTGAGTATAATGAGTGTGGCTTTTGGAACATTTCGGCCAGGGGTACGACCGAGAATGTCTTGGCTGATTGAGGAAGCACATACATGTACGAGAGTTTGCACTGGTCTGAACATCACTAAAAGTGGAGCAAAATTTGAAAATAGAGTAAGACTTTCTTACTCCCTTTACCACGTGTTGCACTTGCCGGGTAGAAACCACAACACTCGCGCATAAGCAACGCCCCTGCGGTCTCTGTTACCATCAAGTCGACTCGCCCGAATTTGGTTTTGTTTTTTTACACAATCGAAGTGTCAAAATTCTCTTTTTTTTCTTTTTTGTGTAAAATTAAAAAAAACTGTACGTTTTATAAAATTTACTCGTTTTCGTAGTATACACAGTAAGCACCGTGTTAGTTTTCGCCCTAGTTTTCTATGCAAAAGAGAGACGGCGTAACTTAACGTTCATTATATAAAAGCGCGAGGCCCCAGGGTACCTCCGAGGGCCTCTCCCTCCCTNCATTGCACCGGTCGTTAAATGCCGCTGAAACACATTAATAAACAATGCACCACGGCACTCTGGAGAAAAGTATAAGGTTGGAGAAGTCGTTATTTAATTTAATCAAATTAAATAACGACTTCTCCAACCTTATACTTTTCTCCAGAGTGCCGTGGTGCATTGTTTATTAATGTGTTTCAGCGGCATTTAACGACCGGTGCAATGCTGCTCTTCAACCGGAGTTTATTCTCCCGTTAGCTCTGGGCTAGCTCACACTGCAGCGGCCGCTGTAAATATTCACTGTCTGACTGTCACACAAGCAGCTGATACATATCCCCAATTCCCCATAAGTGAATGTGTTTCAGTATGAATTGACGCTGTTTGGCATCACAACGCTGTTATGAAAGGTCCTCTGGTATAAAATGGGTGATGTTAGCATAGCAACAGAAGCTACTGACTATCTTGACTACTTGTTGTTGCTATCCTATTGTGGCATAAGCCGTTTTCTACAGGCACATTTTACCGGCGTATTTTTCATTATGATTCTACTTGTGATAGTCGGACATGACAACCTGTGCAGCCCATGTATTGATTCCATCCGATAGCTGCTATAATACAAAACAAAACGTCTGCATGCTCTCCACAATGATCAATAACAGCGAACGCATGGTCAAAGTAAGGCGCAACTCCCAGCAACTTTCTTTCTTCCTTTATGTAGACTGGAGTGGTGATACCGCTTATTTGTGCTAGGGATGTGTTAACTTGCCTAAAAAGAGACCTGTTGCCAACAATACGTGTCACACCGCAGGACAGTTTAATCAAAATTCATTTCTACCGACTTGGTATGTGAATAATAAGACCCAAAACAACAGGACGAAGGTCTAGAATTTAAATCCCAAACGTTTGAACGTTAGTACTGACGACAAATCGTCTTACGTAGGTGGTAGTTTGACGGTGGAGATTAAATCTCCGGACGACAGGACACTACTCTCACACACACACACACGACACACACACACACACACACACACAACGCACGCACGCACGCCACGCACGCACGCACGCACGCAGCGCACGACGCAACGGCAACACACACTCTCAAATCACCTGTACTCTAGTTCTACATGATGTAGGACCAGAGCTATAGAGGTGTGTAGTATGTTTGGTTCGTATTTATGCATCATGTCTCCCCCCTCCCCCCCAGTAGACGGATCACTAAGGGGGTATTCCAAAACCACATATGGGAGTTGTTTGTCTGTAGACTCAATTTATGACGTCGTCGTAACTCCCAATTTACCCCCTGTTCAGGGTCCGTACTCTCCCAAAATTCTTTCCCTCCAGGAGTGTGTCTACCCCAAAGTGTGTATGCGACCAAGTCCGGCCAAGCCCTCGATCTCGGACTTTTCGTGGCCA